AGAGGGCATCCCCAAAATCACTGGTGAGTTCTCCCCTCCTGGTACTTCTCCTCCCCATGAGGCTAGCTGATGCCCGATAGTCTAGGATTAAGCAGCACCAGGTGGGAATTGCTGGAGAGTGGGTCTGGACCAGCTTCTTCCTCCCATACAAGTCCAGTGGGATCCAGGAGAGCTCGGCCCTGGCACTCCCAGGAGGTTTCCATGAGCTTAAGGACCTTGCAAACCCTGACCCATGCCAGGTGCAGTCATGCAAACCCCAACTCTCCGTTCCTGACCCTCACAAATGCTGCAGAACTGGACATCTGCTTGGTCACCTCACTTCACTAGCTACAGAGCCTGTCTCTCCAGCCCCTGTCACGCCAAACGGGGGTCTCAAAGGACCTTCGCTGGGTCAGTGCTGAGCGGGGAAACTTCCCGCGATGTCCAGAGCACAACAGTTGGAGGGGCTGCAACAAAGCAGCAACCAGGGTGTCACGCTGCTGGAGGCCCCGTTGCTCGTGCAGGTCTCAGGGCTGAGCTTGCGGGCCTGCAAACCCCGGCGTGCTCAGCTCAGGAGGTTTGGGCCCCTCCGGCAGCCGCAAGATTAACCGTGCGGAGGGTGTCTGTGCCTCTCTGAATAACGTGCTCCAGTTACCGCAGCAGCGGGGAGCCGCGGGGGCTCATACAGGAGCCTTGCAATATTGATGAGGCGTGAACTCGATTTGTTTTTTGGAAGCGTTTGCTGTTAATAAAACCTTTGTTCTCTCTCCGTCTCTCCCGCTCGCCTCCCCTGGCCCCTGCATCGCTGCCCCCAGGGAAAGGCATGGTCTCCCTCAATGGCCACTGCGGCCCGGTCGAGTTCCTGGCCATGGCCGCGAGCACCCTGGCTCCCGACATCCTAAAGAGCGACAAGGAGGAGGAGGGCGGCGAGGCTGTCTGCGGCGACGAGGAGAAGCCGGAGGGCCGGTGTCCGGAGCCGGTCACCCACGACAGCCACCCGGGCCGGGAGATGAGGAAGAAGGGGATCCTCTTGCAGTACCGGCTCCGCTCCACCTCCCACCTCCCCGGGCAGCTGCTGTCGGTGAGAGAGGCCCCCGCCGTGGCGGGCGCCGGCGCCCTGGAGCACACGGAGGAGGACGGCTCCATCTACGAGATGGCCGACGACCCGGACGTGTGGGTGCGGAGCCGCCCGTGCGCGCGGGACACGCACCGCAAGGAGATCTCCTCGCTGGCCATCATCTCGGGCGGACGAGGCTACCGGAGTTTCAACGCCAGCAGCAAGGGCCCGGCGTGCAGCGAGACGGACAGCACGCTGCTGATATGGCAGGTCCCTCTGACGCTATAGCGGGGACCGTATCCCCACCGCGCGCCGCTCAGGAGCCGGGACGACCGAGCCTGACCGCCTTCGCCGACATCTCTCGTCCCGGGCTACCTACGAAGCGACTGCTCGGGAGGGACTCGGTTCTTAACTTCCCACCGGCAAAAACGAACACCTTCCCACCCCCACGACGCACCACCCTCCCTTTTGTAGGACTCTTCCAAACGTGCGACTTTTTCTTCCTTTTCTTGAGAAACCCGCTTGTTTTTTGGGGTTCCTTTTAACAGTCAGAAGAGGTGCCCTCCCTGCGGGCTTTGGAGGCACCCGAACGTTGCCGAACTCTTCGGCGCGTCTCTTCAAAAGAGGGCGCCGAGCCTACGTGTGTCCGTGTGTGAATATCTATATAAATATATACATATATAAATATAACGATGTATATTATGTGTACAAATGAAAAATCTGTATATATCGGGGCATCTGGAGCTGCAGATATAAAATAAAAAAGGAGGCTTGAGCCACGGCCTGGTACACCCAGCGGTGAGGGCTCTCTTGTGAACCGCTGTCTTGAGGTCTCCTTGTGCTTTGTTGGCTTGTAGCGTGGGGCTCGGGCCCCACGTAGGCTCCGGTGCCCCTGGAAGGCAGCGGGTGCCTGCGTCTCTGGGGAGCGGATGCAATTCAGTTGCCTCCTGGGAGGTGCCAAGGGGCCAGTGATGGCAAAGTTTTTGCATGACGCGAGCTCGGGCATGGGTGAGCACCAGCGCAGATGAGAGCTGCCACGCCGTGCAGTTGCATTTCAGTCACTGCACCCGCGCTGGTGCCACGGTCTCGCAATCCTCTGCGGTGGGCAAGACTTGGGGGCACGCTGCAGGCTCTCTGAAGTCTTTCTCAGTTCAGACAACACTCCTGTGACCTTTCTGGGGGAATTAGAGGAAGTCGTTGTGGGGACTGGAGCAGCCACGGCACTTGGAGTGAGAGGACGTTTCTTCACGGTGCTTCGTTCAGCTGCCCAAGCCCTTCCTGCGCTCTTTGGTTGACTGGGATCTTGGTCCCGTCCTCTCCCACTTGCTCGGGGTGGCTACGGCGGTTGCTTTCGGTGGCTGGGTAGATCCTGAGTTTCTAACGCTTTGGAGTTTAGTTCCAGCTTCTGCTACCAGCCCGTGCCCCAGGCCCTGCTCGGTTATCAGGCGGTGCAGCCCCTAGCATGGGTAGATAGTCTGGGGGCCTCGTGGTCGCTTTGGAAGGGAAGCCGCAGCTCTGGACTTGATACCTGCAATGCTTTCAGCCTTTAAAAGCTGCTTCCTTGTGCATTAGGGTCCTCAAGCTCTGCGGCTGGATCAACCTCGCTGGCTTGTCTTTGTGTCCGCTACGGGCTGCGTGGGGGGCATCGCCCATGCATTGCACCCTTCCAGAGAGACGGAGAGAGAGAAGCCAGGTAGATCCTTCATCTTCTGGAGAGGAGAGGTGACAAGTGCCCACACAGCGCCAAGCAGGACAGCTCTGACTTCACGCGGTTTCCCCATTTGTGGATCTGCCGCTGTTGAAGACGCTCATGATAGACTGTCCTGTAGGAAGCAACAAGCCTGGGTATCCTCTTCTGTTTAAAGTGCTAGGGGCCATGTCAGCCCTCCTCTGCAAGGCAGGTGGAGCTCCAGGACTGGAACAGCCCGAGCTCGGACTGACCAAGACACGGAGCAAGCCCGTCCTAGCACGAGGCCCTTTGTTATGGCTCGCTCCTGGCATCACGTCCCGCTCGGAGTTGCAAAACCGCACTTGAAGATGGGCGTGGAAAGCACACCCCTTGAAAGGCAGGTGTCAGTTCCCCTGGGCAATCTTTCCTGGTGCAGCAGTGCCTACCGGGGCCTGCTCAGATGTGGGCCCTGGGTGGGTTTTGCAAGGTGCGTAGAAAAGGCAGAAAAAAAGCCAGGTGGCAAAATGAGCCCCATTTCAGAGGTGAGAAATCAAGGCACCAGAGCGAGCTTCTATGGCAGCAATGTAGCTGCAATGCTGTGGTCTGCAGCGCAGCGCGAGAGGTGCGAGGACAGCCCTGGCGCCTCACTGCTCCACCCCAAGCTCCTGGACCACGCCGGCTTGACGCCTGCAAGCTTTCCCAGTCGCATTGTCTCATTTTCTCTTCTTTTTCAACCGAGGCTGCAGGTTGACTTAATTTGCCTGAGGGAGGGTAGGGGAGGTGGCGGGAGGACTATCGAAGCGCTGGGGGCGGCAATTGCTGATTGAAGGTTTCATTATCCCCAACTTCAGACACCAGGAAGGAGGCTTATCAGGCAATGTAAATGTTCCGCGCTCGCTGCGCGCTGGCCTCTGCGCCGCTCGCTGAATTATTTATGCGGCTGAAATGTCAGGGATCCGTCCTGCCTTGCTCGCTTGCTCCGCAGCACAGAGGAATGGGCTCGCCGAGATGTGCCCGGAGGCAGAGGCCACCGTGGGACGAGCGCCAGGCTGCCCTGGGCCCACAAGGACCGTGTGGCCTGCCCCCAGGGCCGGGTGCCTGTAGTGGAAGTGATGCGATTTGCAGAAGGGCATTATAGGGCAAGAGGTTTGCAGTGCTTACGGTACCTCCTTGCAGTGGGGATGGGAGGCTGCCCAGGCAGAGACTTGCCTGGGCCTGCACTTATCTCCTCACACCTTGAGCACCCTTCAAAGGATCTGGTGGCACCCCTGGGTGCTGGAGCACCTTTGTTGCAAATCACTGTTTTATGCAGTGCCCTTACCAGGGTGACTTCCCTATTGCAGAGGGGGTCCCAGATGACTCTGCTGCAATTAATTTAGGAAGTGCAGTAAGTGATCACGTTCTTCGAGGAAATTTTCCCTCACATCACTGGAGCTCTGGTATCCCCAAGCTGCACTTCAGCATCCCAGGGCTCCGACTTGCCTTGGCAGCAACAGAGGGGAAGGGGGTGTTATTTCCATCGCAGCAGCAAGCTCCTCTTCCCTGGGAATCCCCCAGGAAATGCTTTTGGGAGCAGCAAGTTGCAAACTCGGCCAAGGTGCTCAGTGGCAATCTAGGCTGCAGGCTGCTGCCTGCTGTCTTTCTGTGCGGGTGCTTTAATTGCAACAGCTTGGCTTTGAAGTCGGGCTGTAATGAAGGGGAGCCACTGGGTCACCCATCCTGGGCACTCACTTGGGGTGCAAGAATGGCAGCCACTGTTGCTGCCACAGTCAGCCTGTCCCCTGCCACCGCTGCTGCCACCCCAAGTGCAGACCCTGGATGTCACGCCTCCGATCTGGTCCTTAAAACCAAGTCATCTGCTTCCAGGAGGTCCTCAGACTCTGCACTAAAACAACTCCATTCTGCTCCAAGAGATCCACATTGATTTTTGGGGTGGCAGGAAGACTTCAGCTCGGGTTGGGTGCGGAGAGAAAAGGCCGAGCTTTTCCAGAGCCCTCGGACACGGTGAGAACCGAGGACTTCCAGCTCATGGTTCAAAACCCGGCTTGCATGGAGGTGCATGGAAAAGCTGCAATTTCTCTGTTCCCTTGGAAAGGACAACTCGGTCACCTCTCCTCTCAGAGCCCATCAGCATGTGGATATCGAGGGAAAATGCATCGGAACGAGGGGCTGTTTCGTTTCAGTTGCTGCTTTGCATCAAGACAGTCAAGGGGATTGTAGGGGGTGGGTTGCCACTACAAAACCCCTATCCCCAAAGCAAGTTGGTTTCCACGAAGCTGCATTTCTATAGGTGGAAAAGCATTTGCCTAGCGCTACTCGGCCCATGGCAGCTTTCGTTGAGAGGGATGGAGCATCCTCCCCCCGGGCCCTGCTAGAAGCAGCGGGACTGGCTCGATTAGGGGCGTGCAACAGAAAGCACACTGCCTTGGGGTGTAAATCCAGGTAAAAACACTCCTCTCCCTGCAGCGGACATGGCGTGTGCAAAAAAAGGGGCTACAGCTGTTTAACGAGCCTGTCTGCACGCGGGTGAGATTTGAGTGAACGACTGGCAAGCTCTGGGCTAGGGGTACTGGGCTGTGCCAGCTTTGGCTGCCATGCCGCAGCTAAGCACCACTGCCTTTGCTAGATTTGGGCTTCGTGGCCAGCCGGCTGGGACAGCGTGACCCCCAAAAACTGTCCTGAGGAAGGTGGGGTGGACATGGGAGATGTTTGGGGCTGGATTATGCCCCCCAGCTTCAGCCAGCACAGACAGTTCATTGCACCCAGCCAGCTGCTGCAGAGAGATCCTGGACAGGGGAGAGGGAAATTTGTCAGAGGACTAAATCAATTTATAATATGATCCTCTAATGGCTTCAATTTGATTTTCATTTGCAGCGTTACAATTATCAGATTGATATTCCCAGCAACTCAACCTTGAAATGGGACAGCTTGGCCAGCGCTGTCAGAAAGGGAAGATTATTCAACTTAGACCAATTTCTGAGTAGTTTTCTAATTAGACATTAAATTTGCTTTTTCTTTCCCCTGTTTTTTCCCCCCCCCCCCTCCATTTGAAGTCGTTTCGTATTAACTTTCTCTACTTCGCCTGCCACAGCAGCCCCTGGTTAGCTCAGGATTTTGAGGACAAGTCTAGAGGCCTTTATCCCAGGGGGTGTAAATCAGTATAGCTCCCTTGAAGGCAGAGGGGGATGCCTTTTACACCAGCAGAGCATCTGGTCCCATAAAGCATAAAATAGCTTTTATTTTTAATCTCCCAATTTTCTCAATTAACATTAGACCACGGGAGGCTGTGCCTGAACAAAGCCTTTCAAGCCTGACTGAAGGATTTGGGGGTATCTCAGCTCACAACCCCCCTGGTTTTTCAGCACTGGGTGCTCTGCATCTAGAAATCGGGCTCCTCCAAACCTCTCCCACCAGACCCCCGAGCATCACAAGCCGTTTCTTCAAGTCTTCCCCTGGCTCAGTGATTTTTGAGTCTCTTGTGGGAACCTCCTCACCCACCACCCACCCGCTGCTATTAACTCGCATGACTTCCAGAAAGAAATAAGACTGGTCGGAGTCCAAAGGGGGCTGCCTTTGTGTGAAACCACCGAGGAGGATTTAAAAAAATGTCAAGCAAACAAGGAAAGAGAACTGCAAAAAAAACCCCCCTTTCCGTCCAATGCAGAAGCTGTTTGTTGCCGGCTTCTCGGAGATGTCCGAGCGCCTTTTAAAAGGACACCTTGAAAGTCACGTTTCCTCATTAGAGGCAATGCTGGAGATGACGAGCTGTTCCTCCTCCCCTTGTTGCCGCTCTCTTCGTCCCCCCATTTAATTTGTGCGGTTGCATCAGGGCCACTGGAATCAGTATGCAGGCAAGCCGGCTGCTGCAAAATGTTCTCCGAGGGCCGGGCTCCGGCGCCGCTCTCATAAACTTCAGGCTGAGGATGCAATTGGTGTCGTATCCTTGACCTGCTGCTGCCTCCGTAAATCAGTGGGGGAGCCGTCTCTCTGCAAGTCTGCAGAAGCAACGCCAACCAAGGAAGCCGGCTCCTCCGGGAATATCCTTGAAGACCCCACGTCCTGCTCTCCTTGCTAGCGTTTAACGAGCATCCTCCAATTTGGCCACGTCAACCCCCAGAAAAATCCCCTAGAGCCTGCTCCAAATGGGCCTTTA